ACCTTTACTTTATACCTTACTTGTATAGAAGTCCAGAGACCTCCATCAGACAGCGCTTGAGGGATTAGGAGCAGCCTTACTGAACAGTAGGACATGATGGAGAATTCTTAGTCCTGCCACATTCCACAAATCCATCAGCCCATGTGCATCCCTGTTCATGGCAAAAATGAGATGACTGTGCCCAGCTACTGCTTTGTGAAGCTTCTTTGATTACTGCTTGTGAAGAACTTTGAGATCCTCAGCTGGAGGACTCTATTGACATGCAATCCTATTGATTGAAAGAGAAGTTGGAAAGGGGATATGAACTTTCATCAGAAGGCAAATGCTTTCTATTTCATTCAATGGGGAGACGTTTTAGAGTTGCCATTCTATGGCACAAGAGAGATATGAAAAGCCCTGAAGACTGGGTTGAATTTCACCTAGGATCACAATGCTTTATTCTTCTACTGGCTATGATGAATTTGATCCGGCATTATAAGCTGATAACTTTGATTTGGTACAGCTATATCTGGAAACCAGGTTCCACTGCAAGCCTTCCTGCTGCATGACAGATGCAATAGTAGTTAGCTAACATTAATTCCGGTTCCTCCATCATGTAGGCTACTTTTCTAGAAATTAAATGTACATTTATACTCATTAATGGTAAGAAAATAAATTTAGGATGGAAATAAAAATGCATATTCTCATATTTCATATGGACAGTTTGCCTTTTTTCTTTAAATCAAAATTAAATTTTCAAGTTTCTCTAATGATTAAATCCACTGCAAATACCTTCGGGATTTATTTTTCATTAAAAAAATGAATCACCTGTGGCTGCGAAGCCCAGCTTTCACTTGAGACTGGTGTGCTATCAATCTAAGATATTATCTGATAGAGGAAAATAACATTGTGATTCAGCCTTGAGTGTTCAGCTAGCCTGGTGAAGGTTCACAGCAAGAATAATTTACTGTCTTACAAGGGGCCTGTGTTAAGGACCATAACAGATTCATAGCAAAAAATCTCTTTCTGGCTTCCCTCTGTCAATCTCACTTGAAATTAAACCAATATTCTTACACAAACATACCTTGAAAGTAACTATTTTACTATAATTCTGCTTTGCTGGAATCCTGATTTTGTTAAAATAAAAGATTAAAAGCCACCATTTCAATATATTTTAGTTTTCTGGCTAGATGCTAGCTGCTTTGTCAGAACAACATAAATTGTGCATCTCAGGTAATAAAGTTTTACCTCTTTAAGTCATCAATTTCCTCACCAGTTCTAACAGTTGGCTTTATTAACATTGAATCTAGGTCTTACATTACCTTTATCCTGCACTACAGTATTAAGAGAAATTGCTTAAGTACTTCAGAGGTGCAAAGTTTCACTTGTATTACTAAGAAACTTAGATTGTGATTGCTTTGATTTGTGCTGGCTATTTTCCAGAGCTCTATTTCGGTCTGACACGAGTAATGTGCATTATAGTAGCATATATGCTGCTGCAATATAGTCAGGCAATACTTCAAAAACTGAATCATAGAATGGGCTGGGTTGGAAGTGACCTTAAAGCTCATCCAGTTCCAACCCCCTGCCATAGTGTCTGAAGGGGGTTTACAAGGATGCTGGAGAGGGACTCTTCAACAGTGACTGTAGTGACAAGGGGTGACGGGTTTAAACTGAAACAGGGGAAGTTCAGGTTAGATATAAGGAAGAAGTTCTTTACTGTGAGGGTGGTGAGGTCCTTGCACAGGTTGTCCAAAGAGGTGATGCATGCTCCATCCCTGGCAGTGTTCAAGGCCAGGTTGGACAGAGCCTTGGGTGACATGGTCTAGTGTGAGGTGTCCCTGCTCATGGCAGGGGGTTGTAACTGGATGATCTTAAGGTCCTTTCCAACCCAAACCATTCTATGATTTTACAGACAAGGACACCTTCCAATAGACCAAGTTGACTCCAAGCCCCGTCCAACCTGACCTTGAACATTGCCATGGATGGATGATAGTATTTCTCCATGAAGATATTCAGAACACAAAAAAAAAATGGGTGACGCAAGCAAAAACATGTAACGATTTCATCAACCAAGAAGCACCAATCCATATTCAACCACAGAGCGCTTTGCATTCTGTTCACAGGAATAACACTTAGGAAAATATAGAGCTGTAATCCTGGTGGCATTTCATTTTAGTCTTATTAACAGATTCAAAAACCATTTTACAGTCCAATTTCTGTATATCAAAACCTCTTATGTCACTTTCTCTCTCCAACAGCATCGAATACATTCACACATGAATACAGTGCCAACAGAAGGAAGTGAGAACAATCATAGAAACACAACACTTCCGCACAGGATAGGCACGAAGAAGTCCATAAATGAATTTCCACTTGCCACTACTGCAGTCTAATACTTCAGAAAGAGTTCATGAAACAACGTGACATTACTACTAGAAATTAAACAAGAAAACAAAAAGGAGATAAATAAGCAGGATCCATCTGCAGAGACATCTGTTCTTTCTGGAGAGTAAACAAGCTCTTCCCCAAAATATATGTAAACAAAGCAGAGCCTAACTGTTTTGGCATACAAATATAATCAAATCATTAACTTGCTGAAAAATACAAGCAGCAGTGGCACAACATTTATCTTCATGTATTTGGAGGTAATTTCCTCAAAGAAACAGCAGTGTACCAAAGCATGACATTATACACTGGAAAGGTACCAAAGGACTTCTTAGAATTATTACAAATGGGAAATGAGCTGCTTCCAGCCTCTCCACCCTTTACTGCCTTTGTAAACCTTGTTTCCTCCTCGCCCTCACCCTTGCTGGGTCAGTTTTTCTGTCAACAGCTATGTGAACACTGCTGCTCCGTAGGCTGCATAGGTGGCTGTCCTTGTATCTGAAGCTGCAGAACTAGTGGAAACAGAGAAACCGGGGAATCCAAACCTGTATTGTACCCAGATCCCTCAAAAGTGCAAAGCTGAGATACTCTGTTCAGAGCTTTCAAACGTGAAGTATTCGCTGTGTGTTATCCCACTTGCCTCAAACAGCTACTAACAAGAAGTTAGTAGCCTAAGAGTAGGTAAGCAGTCAGCATAGCTTAAAATCCTTAAGAACCAGAGCAGTATCTTGAACTTTGAGCATTATCATGTTGCTTGATATACAGGTACATATAAATTACGAGGCAAGACCACCACCCTGAAGTTGCTGTAAGCTAAATATGTGTACATATACATGTGCAAAAAAAGGTGACACATAGAGCTGAATTTTATCAACTAAGACTTCAATTCATTACTTTATTTTTGGTTTACATTAAAAAAATTACAATGTAACAAGGGTTCGAAAAGCCAAGTAAACCTGATTTCACACGCACACACTTGCTAAGTCACAGGGTTCGACTGCTTGAAGTGATATTTTCTGATCTTCATCAGGATATTTTATTAAACAATATACACATTAAGAGCCTCATGACAAAGCCAGACTTCTTCCCAATCTTTCCAAATGTGCAACTGAATATGCAAAGATTCTTGGGAACTTCCAACTTCCCTCTCAGCTACATGAGACATAGTTTTGATCGTTTTCTGCCTAGGAATTCTCCAGTCTTACACATCAACCCGCCCAGGCAGAGTGAACATATTACATAGTGTTGCACTGTTTTGTTCTCAGGGCCACAGATAAGAAATTGATCCCTTAGTAATTTCACCCACCCAATGGTATAAAAACTGATGAACCTGGAATCAAGAAGACACAAACAGTTACAAAGAAATGAAGAAGCAGGTCACTGAAAAAAGGAATTATAGGTTCTGTAGTACATAAACTTTATAATGCAAGATTCTTCAGCACATTGAACTGCTTGAGGTGGGACAGATCATCAGTGCTACTGGCAGAGCAAAAGCAAGAACAGAACAATTTTAAGGCAAGTCCCAGAACAGGGAGCTATTTACTTTCTAGGCACAATTTCAAGCTATGCATCAAGGCTCCTGATTTATAATTTATATTGTAATTTACAGAACAGATTAACAATAATACAAAAAATAGTCTAAATGTAATTTTTAAAGAATCCACTTTTAGCTGAATTTCATTACTTGCAGGTTGTATTTCAGTACATGAAGATTTATAAACATTTCTTAGCACTACTGTTGTTTGTCAGGCCCACATAAAGCAGTTCTAGATATATATTGCTCTCATTTCTTCCTAGTTTTGGTTGGAATCATAGAATCATAGAATAGTTAGAGTTGGAAAGGACCTTAAGATCATCTAGTTCCAACCTCTCTGCCGTGAGCAGGGACACCACACACTAAACCATGTCACCCAAGACTGCAGATCTTTCTACATTTAAGATCTGTTGTACTTGAGAAAGTACATTCCTCTTTCCTCTGATGTCCTCTGATGTCTTTGTTTAAGGGATCATTAAATTAACAGCTTTTGTTTTGTACATCTGTACAATATAAAAAAAGACTGAGCAAGACCTTACAAAGACAACTGTTTCCTGTGAATTAACTCCAATCTGCAGTACATTCATTTTAATATCACAGAAGAGGATACAGTCACTGGTCCCACTCATCCCTGCAGAAGACTAGATATAATCCCCAAACATCTACATTTAAGTTCCTCTAGAATCAATGCATTAAGAATTAGAGATGCATATCTGAGGGCAGAATTTGGACCACAGCCATTAGTCAAAAGTGGCGTTTACTGAAGATTTAGAGCTTACCTAAACATTGTATGTGATTAATACTGCCAAACACAAGACATCTTTTTGTAAGCCTGGGAAGACATTTGGCAGGGGTGTAAGAGTGCTTCTTTATGTGTTATGCTGTTGTGTGCACCTGTCCTTTGAATCAGTTGCATGTGAGGAATGTGTGCCTGAAGTGGGACACAAGCTCTGTTTATTAGGACAAGCTGAAATATAAATTAAATCTGAGCAAACCACTATTCCCTGAAAACTGGATTTAGAAGGCTAGGTCTCATTTGAGAGCAACTTTCACCATAATGCTCCTCCTTATGATTGACAACTGCACCTAAGTACATACTTTTTATAAAAACACACAGGTAATCCCCCATTTATCAAATGAAAAGGGTTTAACAAAAATTAAATCTCAAAATAAATTACAGTAGCATGACAACATTTGGCTTCTTTAGTGTGACCACGTGATTTTCCTTTGTAATCTTGCTGTTAAGACCATTATAGATCCAGTTCACGTCTCTGAAAGTTAATGAGATGTCTGTGATGATAAACGTATAAAACTCTGCTTGCTACAAGCAAATGTCTGATATCAGTTTCACATGGTCAGAGATTATATGTAGACAGCCTTCTCTGGCCCCAAAATAAATATTATATAGTATTCTTCTAAGTTCCAGCATAATTAGACTCAAACAGAAAACTCGGGTCCTCCTTTCTTTGCTCTCAGTAGAAGTTGCCTGATTCGAAATCCCGCAAAAGGATTGATCCACAGGAGTGAAGGCTGACCCCCAAAAACAGATTTCATTCCTTCCCAACGTAGTCTCCGCTCCCATGTTGGCTTTTCACTCTTCAGTCGTTCAATCTCCTGTTTATAAACACACACGGAGCGACACATTGTTAGGTCCACAGTTTAGCAAAGTCTAATAGCACTTACTGAAATTAATGACCATTTGGCTTTCCTTCAATGTATTAGCTATACATTGAACTGTGAGCTGAGTAGTTTGTTACTGTTACTTACTTAGTAAGGAACAATAAGTGGCTGATTTACCCCTCTAGGAACAGGGCAGAAGACTTAGAACATAAAATGTGTACAAGAAGGCTGGTCTACCTCTACCTCTTCAAACTAAAAGACAGAATGACCAGAAAAGCTGATGTTACAGTAGAGGATCTGCACACAGTATACCTACACTAGAAGTTGTTTCCTCAGTTAATGAAATGAGACAATAAGGCTTCCAAGAAGGCTCTTGTACTGCAATTACTGAAGCTAGGCTTACTCTCCCAAATGCATTATTTTGACGATCATTTCTTGTACTTCCCACTAATGAAGGCTTGATATTTACCAATTGTTTTTTCACAGTGACTTTTCAGTACAGAAATACACTTTTAAACAGCCTCAGGTGAGAAAATTCTGAGCAGTCACAAGATTCAAATTCCTTCTGTTTCCAGTCAATTACCCATCACAAAACATCCTTTCAAGGCTTAACAATGCAGGGCAGGGGAGCCAAAGGTACAAACTATGGTGATACTCTAATACAAAGTGTATCAAAGTAGAGGAAAGCCTGAAGGGTTGATACAACATAGCTAGTTTAAGTGCAAGCCTGAGAAGAGCAGGTATTTCTCATGGCAGGTATCTGGAGTTTGTGACAGATGAGAAGTAAAGCCCAAACTGAGGCCAAAATCTGTGCAGTGTTTGTGATTGAAAACCTAATTACAAAATTTAGGTCAGAAAAGCAAATAATGTAAGAACTCCTGCTAGAAAGCAAACCCCAAAAAGCATTTCAATCCTTAAAACTGCAGGAAAAAAATAAAATAAATGAAGATTTGAGGTTTTTTCCAAAGCAACAGCCTCCCCTCATCAAATCAAATACTGTCTAATCACATCTTCCTAGAATAACTGTTACAGCATATGAAAGTAGAGGTCTTTACCGTTTCATCATTGCATATTGAGTGGATTTGGGTGCCAAACATGACTGCAGTGAAAGTGAGAAACAGAAAACCCTCAAGGCACAAGAAGATCATCAGGATCACAGTTACAGGTGGGGAGAAGTCACTGCATTCTGTGAAAATGATATATGTAGTTACAATAAATAAAAGTCTATAGAGCATGTTCACACTAAGACATCTCTTCAACAAACAGCAATAAAAGCTAAATATCTGACACTTGAAAGAGTACTTCACAGTTAACACAAACTTCTAATTTCTAGCCACCGCAGCAGCTTTATTTGCTGCCCAAGGAAATAAAGAATTTTATGGAAGTAACACTTTTTGCTTCCTATAAAGCATATGGTACTGCATTGCTGCAATCCTGTCTCAGTATTTCAAGGATATCAAATAAATGTTTGCACATGAGACAATTTAAGTACTCAGAACTGCATGTATATAAAGATGAGAGCAGCTTGAAGTTTCATGCATAACAAACACTGTAAAAACCACCAACACTGCCAGCTCTGACTTGGTAGTTAATACAGATGTTCCATTTTGCTGCAGTTGCTGTTATATTTTTTTACTTCCCCACACAAAGTAAGCTGATTCTGACTTAAACTTACATCTCGGGAGATAACTAATCAACTGATTACAGTTAAACAAAGAAGAAATGGGATAGTATAAAGAAAGTAGAATGTTTCAAGTGAAAAAAAGGACTAAGATTCCATCCATTTAATGGAATATTCAGCAGAAAAAAGTCACATGGATTCCCCTGGTTTTCCAGGTACTAGGAAGAACATATGATCAACCACCTTCTGGCAAAAGCACAAGGTCAGAACGAGCTCTAGCACACTGGAACATTAAGAAATGCCAAGTCAGGGGCCTAAGCAAACAACTGGGACAATCTAGGAAATATCTTTTCTACAGAAGCCCCGCAGTTGGCTCCAGTAACAAAATGAGGAAGAAAATCTGTTGTTCACGGAACTGTGCTGCGACACACAAAGCCCAGCTGGCAGCTTCAGGTAATATAGCACTGAGGTGGCAGAGGACCAGCTATCTGCTTACTTCCTATTACAGAGGTAGTAAATCTTTTACTATGCAGAAACAGCTCTTACAGTGAATGTCTAAAATAAAGGGAACCAAAAAGAGATAGAGATGGGTAAACACAAACAAGTATGAAATATTTTCAGGACCTCACTTTAAAAAGACTGGAGTCCTACAATATTTCATACATGGGACTGAAATAGGTGTAACTTTTCCTTAGTATCTGCTATATTACGAGAGTGAAAGTTAAGTATTTGCTTACCAGTCCACTGCCCTCGGACACAGGAGAAAAACTGAAACCCACACAGTATGAGCGCATGAGCTGAAATTAGGGCTATATACATCTGGAAATAAGAGAAAATGCTTACTTTTTACTGCTGCCAGGTAGTAAAGCAGACATTGCTTTCAGCCAGCCTTCACAACTGCACAGCAAATATACTTTCTATTTCAATTTTTAATTCAACACAATGATGTACAACCAAATTCTAATTAAGCTTGAATCTAAAAACATGGGTAACAATGAAAGTGTAAGGATTAGCGTCCTAAACATAGTACCATTTCACCAATTATTATGTAAAACACAACAAAATTAAGATAGTTTAAAATAGCAACACCTTACAAGATTAAAATGAGTATGAGTAGACATAACTTCTTGGAGAATATCTTCCACAGAAGAAAACAAAATCAAAACCCAATTGTGCCCTTAAGCCATTACTCTCTTCTAAACACAACCAAAATTGTTATAATCACGGTATATTTGTACTGAAATCAAGCTGTTGTTTTCACTTACCGTAAACAGAACAAAAAATCTCTGATTTTTCTCCCCCACACAATTATTCACCCATGGGCAGTGGTGATCCATCTTTCGAATACATCGTTTGCAAATACTGAAGGATAGAAAAAGAGACTTCTGTTGAGGAACAGTATTTCACATTTTAATGTTGCAACAAGGGTATCCAGTGGTTGCAAGATGATCTGCTGAATTCTTTCTTGACAAACTGCTAAGGATTATTATATTTGCATTTCTTTAAAGAAACTGTTTGCTCACTCACAATTCAGGTTTTGGTTGTTGCAGAACTGACTGTGTATATAAGATTTTCTTCATATAAGAAAAAACAGTATTAAAATGAGAATCATTGCTTATCCAAAAGCACAATCAAGTGAATCCAGTAACTTGTTTTAGACACTTGTAGCACTGCATGAAAGAAGTTTTAGTTCTTTCTAGATTCAGTACAATCTTCCCCTCTGAAGATTTTTTGTTTTTCAAACAAAGTAATTATTTCAATGTTGCAGACTTTTAAGTCATAAATTCAGTTTGTGAATCACATTTAAAAAAAAAAAAAAAAAAAAGAAATTCACATCTTCAGAGAGAAATTGAGGTTTCAACTGGCCATACAACTGTAAACATATGCCAGCAAAATCTCAACTATACAACAGCTTACAATGCCACTCCTCACCTCCTCAACATAAAACAAAAATATTGAAACTGTAAGCAGCACACATTCTTTGCCTTCTTATAATGAATATTGAAACACTGCTGTTCCTTGCTGGTTCTGCAACTAATTGCTTTGGTGCTGCCCAGTTTTGAGCCAAGGTTATTTCCACAAGTCAAATACTTCATTAACTGCATTTTAAATGTGCTAGGCCATACAGCACCAGAGGGCTCTTTCCTCTTATATTCAGGTGCATCTGCAGCCAAAGTTATACAAGAGAAACAAAACAGTCGCAACATGTGTTGAAGTTCTTTAAGTTCTTCAGCTTAAGTAATGCTGATATTGAATTTTCCTAGCTTTGTGCTTGAGATAGCCACATAGAAAATATTCCAGATTTTCCTGAAGAAAATCCAAAATATTAATCATTTTCATTTTGCAGTTACAAAGGCAAATAAGCCTAAAAAATGCAGGCACTATTATTTAAAATCCTTTGAAGTTTTAATGCATGCTTATTTATGCATGGTATCCATGAGTGCTGCAGTGACAAGCCTTGAAACAAAGCCAGATGATTGTCACTGAAGAGAAGAGAGGGGTGTTTGTGTGGGGAAATAAATGCTCTAAGGTATAAAATAATTTTTAAGTCGTCATATAGGCATGATTTTAAGGTAATTCAGCAAGAGACAGAACATACTCCTGTTCAGATTATATGGGAGAATCCCGAGTATCTCACTGCTCCTCAGAAGCTCACTTTGCCGTGAGCTATCATAACCCAGCCCCTACATTCCCAGTGCCTCTTGTTTTATGGATGGTAAAGACAATTCTTCCTCAGATGCAAATTACTTTTTCACTAGTAATTAAAGTAGTTAAATTAGCTAGTAATTTAACTAGTAGTGCCAGTTACACACGAAAAACCAAACACCGTAACTAAACACCACACTTATTCTCTTCTCTAGTGCAGAAGAAACAGGTATCATTGAAGAGAAGGCATTCAGAAGGTTCACCAAAAGATTCTCATTTCACAGACTGCTGCCTGAAAGTTCAGCCTCTCATTAATATCCCAACCTCTGTGGGAAGGTGAGCTAACTCCAGCAACCACAACCATGCAAGCCTCTAAATGTAACATATAATACACGCTATCACTCTGAAAAGAATATTAATGTGAAATACTGAGTAAAATCATACCCAGACTCAATCAAGGCAAACACTGGAAGATGTGAGGTGGGCAGGACTCACTTTTGCTCATTCAGTATTTCACACAAGCCCACACAGAGCTCTCCAAGACATCAGATGTCTGGAACCCTGCCTTCCTTTCTAATCTTACACCACGATTCAACAAACACTTCCAGCCAACAAACACACAGCAATGCTTAACACAGTGGTTCTGCCTTCTTCCTACCCCAGTCACTTGTATTCTAGTCCCTTCCTTGTCCAAACACAGATGTTTATGTGGCGAGAGTTTGGGGAAGTCATTCTATTAGCTGCAAGCTGGGTAATGTCACTGTGTACGAACACACGCCTTACACAAGAGGAAGGAGCAATATGGTAGTGAGAACTGTGGATGAAGAACAGTTTTCTCCAGCTTGGCACTGCTGCTGAATGCACTCAGGCAACAGCAGATGCAGTTACAGATTTGAATGCCAAAGGTAACATTCAGAAAGACACAGCTAATCGCTTAAGAGAAACTGGTCTGGATAACAGAAATTCATAGGAAGATTGATGCAAACACCTCAGTGACTTGTTTCTGGGTAACAGCTCTCCACACACGAATGCAGGCACTCAGAATAGGCTAGAAATAATGACAGCTGTGCTCCTTCAGTGAAAATGAGATAGCATTCACTCAGGATAAGCCTCTTCCTTATGTTGAAAACGTTAACTGCTTACTAAAATCTCAGTTTAACATATTTCACTGAGGCTAGTTACTTAGCTGTAAATAAAAGCTTCTTGTTCTTTCTGCCATCACTAATGTGTATTATGAAACTATTTTTCTTCACAAAAGAAACTCTGCTGCAGTGTTGCACAACAATTTTCATAACTACATCATAAGAGTCTCTTCTGTTAATAATTTACTACTCAAAACACTGTAGCTTTGAGTGTAAGTATTTCCCAACAGGAATCAGCTTCAATTTCCATTTTCAAGACTCTTCCATCAGCAAATTGCCACTTTGACTACTTGGGACTAGACCAAACTTTTAATGTCCTTGGAATGGGTTTGTAAGCCAATAAAAAGTTGGCAGTATAATCAAACAAACCTTTTTTCTATTCAGTAAACTACTTTAGTGCTAAGTCCATGGCAAAGAATCAGATTAAAAGAAAGAAAGACAATTAAACCAGATATCCAACTACTGAGAAAAACATGACAGCAGGCTTACCACAGATACACTTTCAGGCTCTGGCCTTCTCTTTCAGATGTTCTATGAAGGCAGTTATGCAATACACAAGCACCAAAATGCACCCTTTGCCCTTACATGGAACACCTCACAGTGTATTTTACCACAGCATAAAAAGTAAAACAATTCACAAGAAGTTCAAAGCTAGGTCCCTAAGCCACTGGTTACTGAAAACAAATCCTTTGAAAGTATCTCAGATTTCCTTCATTGTAGACACTACCCATTCGTGCCCTGCTTTAACAATAAATGTCATCCAAACTCTTGCTATAAACTATGTACCTGAAGTCCCTACTTAGTTCTGCCACAAAAAAATATTTTTTCCATCAACACCACCTTAACTGAGATCACAGGCTACTGAAACATCCAATATAACACAGAGCCTGCTAAGGATGATGGCCCAAAGGTACCCAAACGACTGCAAGACTTATCCAAAATCTATATAGTTGCTAGCTCCAGGTCTAACAGATAAACATTGCCCACGAGATCACAGCCCAGCTTTCCAATACTTCAGCTTGTCTGCTCATATGCCGAGCTCAACGTAAGATGTCTTAATTTAAGACTACTTCCAAATTAGTAAATCCTATCAGGACCAAAGATATGGAAAACACAAAGAGACCTGCAAAGTCCCATAGGAACCAGCCTAAATTCAAGATGAGAAAACTTGCAAGATCCAATCTACAGTCAGCAGAGGCTCTCGGGTGTCCCATTACTGCTTCCCATGAACACAATGCCAATGAACAGACTGCACAAAGCTGTCTGGGGTCCCCAGAGATTAACAGCTTATATTTTGCCACAAGAAAGCAGCTGCGCTGCTTCTACCCCCAGGCCCAGCAAGCAATGGGTACAGCTGTCTTCATGTAATGCTCTACTGGAGCTAGTAAAACCAGCCAGAACCAAACTCACTGCACAGGAACGAAGGCCTGGTACCTGCATCCATGCAAAAGCTAACCTACAACACAAACTAGCTGAAGATAATTCTATACCGACTATTTATACATGGAACTTTTCCCTTCACACTCCAGATACAAAAGCCCACTCACATCTGAGAAAACAACAAGATTTCAGTGGCTGTGTATTTATAATGGAAATAGCTCTGCAGCCATAATGTTCACAAAGATAAGTGACATACACTGAGACATTTAATTTAGAAACCACAAATTTACAGAATAATTTGAGTCCTGACAAGACTTCACTCTGTTCTTTTGATAGGCACTAACTCAGAGAAACACGCCACACAATTCAATACATATCACTCCTTACACCTAGAGAGCCACCAGAAACATTTACATATTTACATAAGTCTTATTTATGCAGGCATATCTATTCTCAGCTCACATAATAAACACTACAAATGCATATCCACAGTGCCTGAAAACTCCAAAGATTGAGAATTAGAATTATAGTATATATTCACTATCTCTTTCTTTAGTTCAAATTATCACTGCTTCTGTCCTTATTAAAATGAATCTTCAATAAGCAGAAATGCATTTAAACAATTATTCATATCACTTTGGTAAAATAATCTGACAATTCACATGTAACTTCAAATGACACACGATGAAGACAAGAAGACACAAATTAAAGCGATAGTTTAAATCTCATCTGTATTTTTTTAATTTGGTTTGCAGGAGACATTTCTTAAATGAGCTTCTAAAAGAAATTTCCTTGTGTTTCTCCCTCACCCTGCATTATCAACAGTATGGCACAATAATTACAACGATGCTCAGGAAAAAATATTCACAGAACTAAAACTATTTAAAACACCACAGTATGGTTATTTTTAAAAGCTCTTGAGTATCTTGCTTTTTCCCTCTCACCCACATTCATTTTTGGCCATAGTACATTACATTTATAAAATACTCTGCAGTGTATGAATTTGAAAGTTTACTGGATACCAAAAGCAACTTGTGGGGAAAAAAATAACACAAATGTCAGGAATCTTATTCAAAGACTCAATATGCATAACTGCTTTAAAACTATGGCATACCTGCAATGGTGTGCACGTTCAGGTTTGATACTACAGCACTTTGGACATTTGTAGATCACCTCTCCTGGTTTCAATTGCAAATTATCCATGTATTCTTTAGTGGCATTTCCTTTGGGTACAGCCCCCTGAAATAATTTCAGTTAAAGGAGAAAAAGCTTCTTAAATGTTCTAAGAGTGTTTAAAAATACATTTTATAGACTTTATAACAGTAATCTCAGCATAATTGCTGAAATAAGGTCATTTATTCAACGCTAGTCTGCTATAAGCCAGAATCATTTCCAAATGAATATATTACCTCTGCTTGACCTCAAATTCACTTTCATTTCAGCAAGACTCATCTGTGGCCAACTATTAGCATAATTCTGATAGAATCTACTGTCACCAGCATACATAAAATATCTTTACATGTAGATACAAGCCCTATGGGTACAATATTTGCTGGCAAGAAGACATACTTTCTTACAGAAGCATATGTTAATTGTTGTGATGTTTGATTATTAGGCCAAGACATCCACAAAAGTTAAATCAACAACTACTTAAAAGATTATTTCAAATCTCTAAACCCAAGATTTAGCTCTGTGTATACCGGTTTTTGAGAACCAATAGTCACCTTTTTTAACTTTATACTTAAGCTTTTAGCTTGGACACTGTCAGCATGAACCACCACTGACTTCTTTATTCTACATCTAGCGTCGCTTGCTGCCTTCTGCTGCTGTGGAAGTTTGTGTAGCTACATGGTAAACAGTTGCAAGAACTGATCCAAAAGAAAAATAACACATCAGGAAAACAAATTATTTTATAGTGATAAGGTCACTGAGCTGTTCACCACAGAGCTGCATTAGAGCTGTTTCAACACAATGAGGAAGACGATGAACAGACAGGAACAGCAGGCATGACTGCTTCCTTCAGTAACAGTACCAACTGAGAGCCTTGCGAGATCAGAATCTAACTCTGGATTAGGAAGAAGAAAATAATGGACATTACCAGTGTCACCTTACTTATATATAGTGCTAAAGGCTTATCTGTGACAGGAAGTGATTGTAAAATAAACTGGAATGCGAAATCAAAGTGCAATGGGGTTTCTGTACCAACTCCTCCGGGCCAGCACCTACATGACACAGAGAGAATCTTCTCCAGGTTGGCTTAAATCATCTGCAACACTCTATTTCTCATTCACAAAGAGCCCACTGGCAACACCATGAATTTACAGAGACACCGTAAGAAAGTTTTTAAGACAGAATTAAAAAAACAGGAGGCACTTCAAATTCAATTGCAAAACACCCCTCTACTTTGGCAGAAAGTTTTTGTTGTGTACGGCCTGGAATAACAATCTCGTGTTTGTATTGCCTGAGACACAGCCCAAGTTCTGCCCTAGATGAACTCTTTGGCTAAGTGGTGCTACATGCTCGAGCCAGCTGGCCTCTGTAAGGGCACAAACTCAAAGAGAGTTTCTTAAACTCTCACACTGTATTGCTGAAGTGCTTTTTGCAACATGAATGTTCTCATTGAAGTGAATACTTCGGTGTAAACATGGTAAATTATCTCAGAGAGAACTTCAAAAGGACAAATTTATCTTCTTCCAGGTATACCTGCATTTATAAAACATCTCACATCCACCTGTCACTAAAGACAACTTTTGTCATTTTGCTGATAAAAATATGCTCTATTTCAAAACCATCTTTCACACTGTCTGAGAGTCACCAATTCCTTTCAATAAGAAAAAAAAAATTATTTTAATAGTTACATAATTCATATGTGTTTTGAGGCAGTTTATTCCTTCTTTCCTTCAATCTTACTTTCTATCACATGATCATGTCTTCCATTCCAGGAGTCACCAGGAAAAGAGTGGTAAAAAAAAAGGCAGTGATTCATTTCAATTTCTATTATGTTTCATCCATGAAGAACGTAGGTGTAGGAAGACACACAGTTTTACCAGGACAAATTCTTAAGCAATGTATCCTTAAATCATTAACTTTCTTAGCTGTTGCAGTCTGTAGAAGTCGGCACATTTCATCACTGGGTGTGGGCTCAGAACTACATCAAAGACCTAGGAAACCATTAACTACAACACCCTGATGATCTTTTTGAACACTCCCAGAACTTCTGTATACACTGTTACCAACTCAAAGATCTGTAGAAAACAGAAGTGTTTCCCCCCACGCCATTCTTCCCAGATTTATTCCCTTCAGAGACTAATAGATTTTAATACAAAATAAACAATTTCATCTCCTGAACTCTTGAACTGAAGAGTGTAAATTGTAAGAAATGAGTGCTTTCAAGACCTTTCACACCTACACTCTTCCAGCATGGGTTCAACTTAAATCTCCCCTCCCACTGACTCCACGTACTTAAACACAATAATCACAGAATCATGTTGGACAATAGTTCTTTCTTCATGCCAATACGTGACTGAGGCTTTTCAGCATGTCTACCTCTAGAAGTTCTCTCGTGCCATAAATGTAATACACATCTCAAAGAATTCAACACAACTTCTTGTGAAGTTTTGAGAATATATCTGACAAACAAAAGTAAGAAAAATTTGGAAAGAAAAGACTAAACCTTTATTGGCTTCTTCAGAACCTCGGTTAATATTTTACAAATAAACTAAATTTCTCGTGACCCTACCTCTCCCTCTTACGTTATCTTATACTGCCTGCTCCTCAAGTCAAAAATTATTCAAGGTTTCAATGGAACAACAGGAGAAGTACAGATACCATCCCTTCACCTTGAGGGTTTTGAATCTAACACTGCTTTTCCTAGCAGGAGACAACTGATACCATTTGTCCACATCTCTGCAGACAATGAGCTACATGAGAGAACAATTCAATGTGAAGGAACAATTGCATACTTACTGGATCAGTTAGCATAGTTCTCAGATGCGATGACAAAGCTAGTACTGCCAAGCAGTTAAAGAGAACACCGTTGATCACTGAGTACCAAAAGTCTTTGGAAGGCAGCAACATGACAAAAGTCACTACGAAGTCTGCATAGACAACCAGAAGCCATGTCATTATAGCACAGACCATACCACAGCCATCTCGGATGAACCAAACCCTCTCTGCCATGTCAGCCTCTGAGGAAGAGGAATCATAGCTGTCATTTTCAGCAAGAAGCGGGTGGTGCTCAACATCGCGGAATCTGTGCCCTGATGACTGCATGGTTTTCTGGCCTTGCCCTGCAGGAAGCAAAGATATACCACTATTATACTTCAGGAAACTGGAAATACAGGCTGCTCTTGTTTATTATTTCTGTAAGATAAAACATACACTAGTTGAAAATAGATTACTGAGATTATATTTTTAAATCAAAACCTGAACAATTCTATGACTACATAAAGATAAAATATTTCTGTAATCAAAAGATACTAATTTACAAAGTTTCATATACAATTTTGTAAGCCAATTTCTGAGTTTTATAATACTAGAATATTTTATCACTTGGGTTTGCACGGCAAGGTTTGGGTAGCAGGGGGCCTAGAGGGATGGCTGCTGGGAGAAGCTGCTAGAAGCTTCCCTTATGTCCAACATAGCCAATGCAGCCAGCTCTAAGATGGGCGAACCACTGGCCAAGGCCAAGCCCGCCAGCGACAGTGGTAGCACCTCTGGGATAACATAGCTAAGAAGGGGGTTAAAAAAAACCCTGTGGAACTGCAGCCAGAGAAAGGAGTGAGAATATGTGAGAGAAACAGTTCTGCAGACACTGTGAGAAAGGAGGGGAGGAGGTGCTCCAGGGACCAGAGCAGAGGTTCCCCTGCAGCCCGTGGTGCAGCCCACGGTGAGGCAGCCTGGGCCCCATAGCCCATGGAGGTCCATGGAAAAGCAGATATCCACCTGCAGCCTGTGCAGGATCCTACACTGGAGCAGGGGAAGGCACTAAGGAGGCTGCGTCCCCATGGGATGCCTGTGCTGGAGCAGGGTCCTGGCAAAACCTGTGGCCCTGTGGAGAGAGGAGCCCACAGTGGAGCAGGTTTGCTGGCAAGACTTGTGACCCTGCAAGAGGAGACTGCTCCTGAAGGACTACACCCAATGGAAGGGACCCATGCTGGAGTAGTTCATAAAGAACTGCAGTCCATGGGAAGGACTCACACTGGAGAAGTTTGTGGAAGACTATCTCCTGTGAGAGGCACCGAGCTAGAGCAGGGGAAGAGTGTAAGAAGTCCTCCCCTGAGGAGGAAGGATCCACACAGACCACATGAGATGAACTGACCACAACCCCCACAAGCCACTGGTGGGGAGAAGGGTAGAGAAACAGGCTGTAAAGTTGAGGCCAGGAAGAAGGGAAGAGTAGGGGGAAGGTGCTTTTAAGTTTTTATTTCTCATTATCCTACTCTGATTTGATTGGTACTAAATTAAATTAATTTCCCTAAAATGAGTCTGTTTTGCCTGTGATGGTAACTGGTGAGTGACCTCTCTCTACCTATAAGCCTTCAGTTGTATTTTTCTCCCCCTCCGTCCAGCTGAGGTGGGAAGTGAAGGGGAAGCTTTGGTGGGCACCTGGCACCCAGACAGGGTCAACCCACCACAATCATGCAACTTCAATGCTTGACATAGTGATTTTAGAACAGTTTCATTTCCATTTTGTTGTGCCTGTAAACCATTCTTCCTCTTCTGTTTAAAATGTAATCTCTTTTATCTCAAACTAAAATGGCAAAGCTTTCATTAAATTACAGCTCCTGCCTCTCAGAAAACAGCAAGTAATGGCACCAGGCTGTTGGCTTTTCATACTGCTCCAGCAGCCCTGGGAAGAGCAGAAGGAAATGCAGAATGGAAATAAAGCTGTTTAGTACATTGTTCACAACAAAAACCACTGCAAGTTAGTAAGCAACTACATTTGTTGACAAAAGCGCTATTGTGTTGGAAAAAAAACCAAACCTGATACAAAGATACATTGGACAACTTACAATACTTATTCTGATCAGACCAAACTTCAGGGAAACCAATGGTAGTGGTTAAATTAGCATGACAATGGATAATATGAATCAGAGTTTCAAAGAACACATTGATTTAATTTCATGAAAACCCTTCTAGGACTTTGTTGTTGTTCCAACATGGAACAAAACCAAGTCTGAAACCTTAAAAACTTGATAGTTTTCATGAAAACAGCACTATTTTCCAGACATCTCTAACAAGCAAAGATAGGGAAGAATTGAAGTGTTATCAACAAAAGGGAGACAAAATAAAGCTTTAACATTATGCATCAAGAATAACCTGTTACTTTAGAAGTATACTGTGTTCTAAAATTCATATTGATTCATGCAACTAAAGGCCACGTTTGAGGGAAACTTGAAAGCATTTATATTGATTTATGACAGCAGCATTTTTATTTCTTATTAAGGCAGCCTACGTATGACTGGTAGGAATTATGGCACTTCAGTTTACATCCCGAGACCTTGAATATAGGATCACTCTGTTAGTCTAAAATGGTCAAAGTGTCCATTACCAGGTAAAGAGCCTCTTACACTAAGATCATTTGCAGATGAAGCTGTGTATTTCTAAACCCTTTAAAAACTCTTTGGTCCTATCTAACGGGAATCAGACAAATACCTTCTGCCCAGTAAATCCTTCTGATGCTTAAGCTTTAATGCTAGAACTAAGCAGGAATAATCCAAGAGACTAGAAATGAAAACAAGGACATGCAGATTGCAGTGTAGAGATCCCAGAGCAACAGTTAAAATAACCAAGATGCTCATAGAACATAGTTAAGTGTGGGCTACATTTTCTGGCTCTGAAACAGAATAAACTGAAATACAGCATTGGTGCTTAGATCTGGTCACTAACAATGCAGTATTAAAACTCCTATGAGCTACACTGTGTTTTCTATCCAAACATTGGGGGTTTTTGCTTTTCGCGGGGGTAAGAATTTTTTTCATTTTTGTTGTTGTTGTTTTGGGTTACACTAAAGTCCCCTCTCTTACTAGAATGCAGCTAAGCCATGGAGGAAGGTGGTTACACACTAGGAAAATACCTTAGGAAAGAATTAATCTCCCTTAAAAGCAATTAATGCTTATCTTAACCTGGATAAGGCCCACTTTTCAGCCACTTTGAGTTATCCTAATCTTGGTAAATGTTTACGGTTAAAATTACAATCTATGCCAATTCATTTCAATAGCACTTTGTGACATCAACCACTCCTTGTGGTGAAGACTTGTAAAAGAAAATTCCAGTTTCAGGAAGCTTACGTACTTAGCAGCTGGAACATGCAGCTATTATTTCATCAAAAATGGGCATATAAAACTTCTAACAAAAGCTTTTGTCTTACTTTTTCTCTCACAAAAGTACCCACCAAAAAAAGTATCTACAATAAACTTTCAACTAAACCTTGAAGTATATGAGGAGCTAACAGCCAAACAAAGTTACCAGACACACAAAATACCCAGTAAAGGCTGTAAAAAGCCAAACTTCTTCTAAAGAGGTAAGCAGCATTACCCAGATGTTTTCAAGTGTCTGAGAGGAATCAATGACTTGAAACCAACCTCCCAATTCTGAAACTTCTTATAGAACACAAATTTGGAATTCTTCCCAGCTAAGGTGCAATACCTCAGAAGAAAAAAAGAAAATAATTATTTTTCAATTAGGGCAAGTTTTCAGCTGCTCAAATCAACAAGTTACCTTACATAATTCTGAAAATAAGAAATAAATCACAACAAATGTGAATTTTTAGATCAATTCTGCAAGCAACTCCTTTGCATACAAATAAAATGGCATAAAATTAGTGGTCTCATTTTGTTTAACTGTACTAAAGAGAACCAGAAAATTTTTAGCACAACAGAAAAACCCCCACATACCTTACAAATGTTTTTGTATGTTATTCTGACATCACGTCCTTCCTTCCAGCTATCCTAGGCTATTCACATAGTCATATCTGATGTAATCTGAAAAGATATCATCAACAAACTGATCAGTAAAGCACTCTTGTTTCATTAGGAAAATAGCATTAAGCACAAATAATATACATAGGTAGTAGCACTTTGAAATATGCTGCATGTACATACAGCAAACAAGCTTTTGACCAAGAAGAAAAAATCTTCTAGATTAAGTTATCAAAGAACAAAACAACACCACTTTAAACAGTGTTTCAAGTAATTTCATATACGTCTTGTTCACTGTTTTTGTTACGTATCCAGATTTCAGCATTACAAAGTAATGAATCCAAAGACCAACTTCTTTTTCCTGTTTCCCATGCCTGTATGTCTGTGAGATAGAGTATGAAAAAAGTAATAATCTTATTTGATTGTCGTACGAACTTACAGCAAGGTTTTTGGTAGCAGGGTATTAATAACAAATATACATGCCTACCACTATTTTTATAATTGTAAGGTAAGACAGGAAAAAAATGGTTTATCTCAAATGAATATATAAAAAAAAATGCATATAAAAGAAAATGCATATAAAAGAAAATGTGTATAAAAGAAAATGAGTATAAAAGAAAATGAGTATAAAAGAAAATGAGTATAAAAGAAAATGCGTATAAAAGAAAATGCGTATAAAAGAAAATGCGTATAAAAGAAAATGCGTATAAAAGAAAATGCATATAAAAGAAAATGGCCCACAACTATGCCAAAAAGAATATACACTTAGAAAGTTCTCTTTGCTAGAATTCCACCATATAGACAAATAATCACCAGACAACCGAAATGCTAGCATAAGCTGTTCTAACCCTACTTAATTTGACAATACAAACGTTCCCTTATCTTGAATCACAGCCCTTCCTTTTCACTAGGACATAATACTCAAATCCAACACAGACTGTGCAAAGTAAGTGCGCATCAGTAGTCTTAAAAGTGTAGAAGATTTCTTTTTCATAGTGAAAGAAGAAGAGAATGAACTTACTTTAGTTAGAAAACGAGGTACTTCAAAGATTGAAAATTTTAGAAGTTAACTTTTGGAAATCACCACAAGGCATTTGGAGTGGGAATCCAGCACAAAACCTTGAGTTAGATTTCTATCTGGGGAAGAGAACAGAAAAGGTGTGGGCCTGAATTTCTGACTGGAAAAGTTTGTGACCACACACATGATGCACAGAAAGTGCTGCTGCACTGGTTTCTGCCAAATTAAGTTGGGAGCCCTGCTGTATGCAAACGACATTGAGTGCCATTGCTGTTGTCTCACCTAGTGCTACTGCTGCAAACCATAACATCGGCCTGGCAATTAAATCTGCCATACATGACCAAGGAAGATTTTCTTGCTTTGTTTTATAGCTTAGAGTAAGAACTTGGAATTTGTGTCTGGTTAAAGCTGGCTAAAGTACCTAGGTTTATTTCTTCAGTTGTTTTATTTTCTGGTATTCAAAATAAGCTTTGTGACATGGAAGATTTACTCTTTCACTTGGAAGGTTAATTAAAATTAATGTATTTTGAGAGAAACATAAGTATTTTGACATTTAACAACTACAAAAAATGCACCACCACTTACTACTTGTAAATGAAAGCATCCAAAACTAGCTTGTTAGAAAAAGGTATTCCAAAACAACATTACTGTTGGAGTTCTTCACTATATATTTTCAAATTTCCCCAATTCAATGGGAATTATATCAACGCAGACTTCCCCTGAAAATGAGAAACCCCTTGTCTTATTTAAACAAACTCATATATTCTATTGCAAGCCTACACGATAACGCAAACACTGATTATGCACATATAATTGCATTAAGCTACAGACTGCTTTCTTTTTTGCTTTATAAATAAGCTTTTATACTTCTGTTAAACCAGTTTTCACAACATTTTGAAATCCACAATCATTAACTTGTCACTGACATGGCATTTAGTGGAAGCTAAGTAGAAACACACAGAAAAAGAGAAGTTGAGTGTATCACATTAATTTGCAGTGTCATCCACCCATTCTTCGAGTTGAAGATGACAAGCAATAGAAGATGACACGCTAAGCCTCCGCAGGTGAAATATTACAAGTCAGAGTAATCATTCCAAATTGTTACAGAGAATTTACTGAGAAGACAGGAACATGATTTTTTCAGTCGGCTCCGTAATCCTAAATTCTGTGCGAAATTTCAGCAGCAAATTTCACCATGGCCTCATTGGTTACTGGTTTATGTGGAAGTGCCACAGTTCAGCTTTTGTGAGAATAATAGATTTAGTCACTCTCATGTAATTTCTCCCGCTCCTGCTCGTTGTTCTCCTCTCCAGCTGCCTACACCATTACCCCGCACCTTGGTCCCCTTCATTTTTTTTAATGTTTGAAAAGCATTTAGACTTCATGAAGAGCTAAGCATCCCCACTGAGATTCTCACAGCTTTCCTCTAAACTAGTCATTTATTTGCTTCAATGCCTGTCCTAACCAAATTTACATTGAGTCTTTGTTGTATTCTTAAAGTACAAGCCTCCAAGACAAAGCATTACACTTCAACATCTAATATGCCAAGCAACTGCTTTTAATTTGAACTTTTAATTATTTAATGTCCTTTTAATTATTTAATTACCCAATGTTTCACGCAAAACATCATCTGTTTGCACAGGTGATTGTATTAAACCTGATCCAATGCAGTTCCACTTTTAGGGGTTATTTGAAATTCTCAGGTTGAGAATGTCTCATCTGACCTCCACCTCCCTGTTAATGAAATGCAGGCCCAAATGCAGATGTATTATTGAAACTATATATATATATATACACACACACATATATATATATACACACACACATAAAAACCCCAAACGTCAAACTTTCGAAGAAGTTACTTTACAAAACTCATGATCACTGGAAAGATGTCTTGTAAAATGGCTGCATCTAAGATGTTTTTAGTTTTCCAATGGGGCTAATGATCCACTGCAACAGTAAACCTCTCCCTTCCCTAAGTTTACTGGAGGAAGGTTACCAAGGGCATTAGGAAGACAAATGATATAACACAACTATTGTATCGTGAGGCCCCAGCACTGTCAATTAAACAAAAAGGGCACCTCGGGGTTAAGCACAGTTCTTTTCCCTGCTATTTTTTGAGGAAGAAAGGAAAAACATTGTTGTAGCAAAATTTTATTTTAATTTTTTTATTAAGAGATATATAGACAAGAATTTATATGCCGGCTAAAAATCCATCAGCTGTCAAAGCCTAAATCTGTTTTGGTCACTTTTTCCTTCATGCAATACAGTGGACAGATTCATAAGAATCCTTATATTTCAGATATGATGTAGATAAAGATTACTCCAACGTTTTTGATTGCACACTGATAGGTCAATAATCGCAGGGACATTAACAGATATTGCACACTAGAATAATAATCTCACAGCACTTACACATGATGGATTTAAATTCTACCTAGAAAGAACAGCATTGGTGGCAAATCAAAATCACCAAACTGTAGTTCCATTAAAAGATTACAGTGTGAACATTAACTTCAATAACCACAGAAATTTTAAGTAAAGCACAAGGGCACACCTACTACTGCATCCAATACTATGGACAATTTGGACCATTCAATGCTGACAGATAAATATCCACCAGATAATGTCCAGACATAATCATGCCTAATTTAGGTGAATAAACTACTTTTTATTACAGATATATGCAATCCAAATTGCAAAGCCATTTAATAAGTAACCTCTGGTTTGTCTCAACTTCTTCTCAGTGACTAGTCTAGCAAACAACCTCACGACAAATAAAATGACTCTAATAACTACATCAACCAGTGAATGCACTGAAAACCCTTTAGCTCAGCCCCAGCAGCAGCCCAGCTCTGCATGAGGAGCCCTCTGCTAGGGCTTCTCAGCAACCATAATGTGCGTAAGAGAGGACAGGGTAACAAGTATTCAGAAGAACCAGTTCCTCAGCTACACTTCCAATTTAGCCCTGACAGACTCAACTTCTGCTATCTGAAATTACAAAGAGATATGCCCAATTTCAAGAATCTGGGACATATGTAACACAGCACAGGCAGCTCTGGAAAGGAGCAGTTGAAATAGCTTGTGATGGCAACCCATGATACAACCCCAAAGTGGTGTTAACTTATCCCCAGATCTATCACATGCCTTCAGTGGCATAGCTCACCATCTCTCTAAATCCTTGTTGCTTTTGCTCTAACTTAATAGGTTTTGTACAATAAATATGGCATATGTATAATATACTAAATATAGTATATATCTCATGTATTTCTTGTTCATGCCTCATAGTCCTTCTTTGTACTGACCCTTATCTGCTCTACAGCAAGCACGATGACACATTACAGTGGAAACACATAACTCATGTGATGCTGTTTATATGCAAACACCTGCCAACACATTCAAGAGACAATCTTCAGTACGTACATCTCCAATACAGTCGAGTTTCAAGCTATTGTAATGATTCTCCTTATGTCAGTCTCTTATTACACAGCAAGTGTCAGGTCACAGAAAAACACTGGAATTGTTTCTTCTCAGCTTTGAAAAGGGGATATGCTGCTTCTAAATAATCTCAGAAAAAGGGTACATAGAAGAAGTACTTAAGCATAAGTACGAATGTCTTACACAGAAGCTGGTCTTTTAATTACTTAAGTCTTTGTGGCAATAGCGTATTTATAAACATTCTCAAAACCCACAATGAGTATTCAAAGTAAAACATGTTACACAAAATGAAAGGAAAAAAACATCTAGATGTGTCTTCAGAACATGTACTTTTAAAAAATATTTAAGAGGTCTGCTATCAGAAATAAACAGTAGATTTCTGATACCAAATCACTTTTCCACAAGCACTGTTCAGCATGGTATCTTTCTGATAAGAAATTCTTCCCCTTGACTACATTTGATACACAAAGAATTCACTGAGCTCCAACAGCAAGGACAGAGCACTTCTGAGCTAAAGAACAACCTTCATCTGAGAGAAGGACATGAACACAATCTATGGCTGGGCTTTGTATCTTACCTCTTTTGGAATAGGGCCACAGATTCCAGTTC